GCTTTTTCAGCTGTTATTTATTGTAAAGAGACAATTATCTACCCTGTGCAAAATGTTGACTTGTATAAATGCCCTGCTGACGGCTTGGTAAGGCGCCTTCCCTACGCTCAGTGGTTTTCTACATCTGTGTTTCGTCTCCAGCAAGCAGCCATTGTTAAGATTAACAATATGCTTATAATAAACAACTACACTTTGAAGGCTTAATTTTGCTGCTCTTCTCAAGCATTTGAGTGGTATTTTCCGAGCAGGAAGCTATGACCTGAAAGATACTTCAGATTCTGAAGGGGACTTAATGCAGTTTTGACAACAAACACCAGATAGGTATTCTACCTCTCTTCTCCCTGGCAATGGGTGATAGGATGAGGGGAAATGGTCTGAAATTGTGCCAGGGCAGGTTTAGGTTGGCCATTAGGAAATATTTTTTTCAATGAAAGGGCTGTCAGGCACTGGAAGGGGCTGCCCGTCGAGTCCCCAGCCCTGGGGGGATTTAACAGCCGGGCAGAGGCGGTGCTGAGGGCCAGGGTTTGGGGGTGGGATGGCAGGGGTAGGGGAGCGGTTGGACTTGGTGATCTGAAAGGGCTTTTCCAACCCAAACGATTCTATGATTCTATTATACATAACCCTCGTTCAGGGGGATCAAAATGTTTGAAACGGGATGGAGACGTAGTGATCTCTGCTGGCAAGAACATCCTCTCCAAAATGGAATTGTTTCTCTCTCTTTTGTGGGCCTTCAATTAACCGCAGTGGGGAAATCGTATGCCTGGGCTTTACTTCTGGTTATCATGTAGGCATTAATGGGAGCACGTATCCTGATCCCCAGGCTGTCTTTAAACAAGGGTAGGGTCTTCCATTCAAGTCGCATTTCTTTTAGAGTAAGCTGTTGAGCCAGAGTAGATTTGCTTTTAAATAACTCCGCTGAACTGCATGAGGCTGTATGCTGCAGAACTACCAGATTTTCCATGGCCTTTATGATCGCCTGTATATCTTGCTATAGTCCCTAGTCCATCCATAAGAATGTCTGTGCTTTTGCTTAAAATATTTTTCTTCTTCATCTGTTGTAGACAGCAATATGTATGTTTTGGACACCGATGTAATACGTATATTTTCCTGGGGGTGACTTGTGGCCTTGAAAACACTTTAGGTGCCGTTACAAATCATCTTCTACCAGCAGATACCAAATGAAGTCTGCTGGTAAATATTGATTTGTTGGGGTTTTTTTAAGTGAAAACTACGGTACACGCCAGTTAATTAACAAAGGGAAAATAAGAGGGAATATACGTGTCCTTAGATTTTCCCATGTGATTGCAATGCAATTATCTGAGCTTGATGGAGCAGCGCTGTTAATTAAGGGCATCCTGCACTGCTGATCTTTATTGCCTGTTTTGTACCCATTCCGCATGTTGAATTTCCCGTAATGATATTAAAGAACGTACATATCAGCATCGATACAGAATTCACTGGAGATTACTACCATAGCTAGGGAGAGTTGTTATGCCCATAATTCAAAAGCAACTCTCAGAGCCAAGTTCCATCCCCAGATCTGCCTACACGAGTCCTGCTGATAGGAGGGGTGTTAATGAGTGCTAAGGGAGCCGCCTACTACTTGATTTTTCTCATGGTATCTTGTGTTCACAATCTGCTGAAAGCAGAGCTCAACTTCAGCCACTCAGCGGGGCTCACGTGGTAACCACCAGCATGGAGTGCCCATGGTGCAGAGCAGGGCTTTACTATTTTAAGCTCGTAAGAGGCAGAAAGCCTAGGAAGGGAAAGGGTTAATTCATGAAAACATGTCCAAAAGGGTCAATATCAGAAAAGGGAAATCTTTATCTTCAGATAAAGATGCTGTTTGCATACAGAGAGATGGATGCACTTGGGTGGAAATACAGTCGTTTACGTGTAGTTGGAGAATATTGCAGAATAGGCTTAGCTTTTTAGTTTTAAAGTCAATTTATGAAAAGGGTTATTTCTTGCAGTTCCCTGAAATAGCAAGGCAGGCCAGGATGTTTCTTCTGGTACTTCAAAGTGATGAGCTGGCCGTAAGCTGGGTAGCTTTTAAATTCTTATAGACCCTCTCGAGAAATAATAATAATAATAATGATGATGATAATGACAATAACAATAATGCAAACTCCCTAGCAATGTGGGAGCTCACATCATGCTGGGCGTTGCTGAGGATGAAGAGACTTCTCAAAGACCTGAGCTTGTGTTGTGGCCTGCCTACTTTGGCCTAAGAAAGACGCTTCCAGCGAGGAGCAGCAGATTCAATGAGACAAAAAGTGAAACACTGGGAGTGCCATCGGTGCTGGCGCAGGATGTACCAGACTGAACGTGTTGTTCCAGCACATATAGCAAAGAGAGAATCCACCACGAATGTGTCACAAAGACCATCAGCTGATGAGTAGTCACCTGCTTAGTCATATGACAGTACTAAAGAAACTTTTGGTTTCGATGTACAGATTTCTTGGTGGCTTTCTGGATCCCACTTTTGAAAAGTTCAGCTGATGCAGATACCGTGAGACCATCTGCTCTGTTTTCTTTCAAAGGGATCAGTTCCTCGTGACCAGAGCCTCTACGGCAGCTGGCTCTTCCCTTCCTTCCTGTTGTTTAAGATCATTGAATGTTCCTCACCCTGGAGATTTGTGTTTGTGCTTTAGATCAGGCTGGTTTAGCTCAGCCTGGTCCAACAGATTTTTAAAGCTTTACCTCCTAAAGTGACTTTGGAGCAGTTCTTCAAACATTCAGGGAGGTTGTTTAGTGGCCACAGGGGTAGGACACAGCTGATGGGACACTCGTACACAGTGTTCTCCATGCTGTTGTGCTAATAGAGGAGCCACAATATTATTACTGTTATTAAATGTGGAGGGCTCCCAGAGTATATTAGATGTTCTTGGGTTCCTCAGTGGTCATTCAGGACCAACATTAGCAGTACGAGGGTAAGAGTTACCTACCAAATCCTAACGTATCTACATGCAGTGGTTCGTACAATTGCCACCATTAAAACGTCACTTCTAGACAAATCATACGGCACGTTGTTTGAAATGCATCTAAGGACGCTCGCATTTGGAAGGATCTAAGAAAGCGGTAAATGCCTGCTTCATGCCTGCTGTGCTGTGTAAGGAATTCAAAAGAAGGTGAGTACCTTCTGGCTTCCAATTATTTTCACTATTTTTCAGCTCCAACCTCTGCTCCCAAGGATTTGACAGTCATTACACGGGAAGGGAAGCCCCGGGCTGTCATTGTCAGCTGGCAGCCGCCGTTGGATGCCAATGGAAAAATTACTGGTAAAGATTTACATTATCCTGCATTCTGCTTTTAATTTTACCATTCTGATCGTTTGCTGCTTTCATTCCCTATTTTCTGTGGAAATATCTCTGTTTTTTTTTTCCAGAATGCTATTTGATCTGCCCATATTTTATTTTCTCTTACTTTTATCAGACAACCTGGTCTAGGATTCAAGGCAATGTTAGGAATACTGCAAGATCTAGAACTCAGAGGACGTCAATATTTTTAAATGCTAAGAGCAGTAATGTAAGTTTAAAACTGCAGCACTCTAAGCACAGGTTTTGCGGTACGTGCTGCTCAATGATAATTAGAAGTGACTAATAATAAGTACTTTGTTTGGCAATAATGCAATACATAATATACATAATGATAGGTTGCTTGGTGCAGCACATAATGGGAGAATTTATTGGTAGGTATTTAACTTTACTATAACAATTTAAGGCAATGATGATCAGGAAAAAAACCCCAACATATTGACTGACAAGAACTGAACTTAATAGATGCTTCACAATGACAGATATTATTTTCCAAAATATTGCATGTAACCTTAGTGCCTAATTAAGAAATCCATTATAAACCTTTAATGTTAATTTAGTTTGAAGAATATGGTAGAGTTCTATCTGAGATTTTGCATTTAAATGATCATTTTAGTCTGCTAATAGACATCTCAGAGGCACACAGTTATTAGGAGAAATATTGCTCTTCTTCAAAAACGTCCGCGTCATGTTGGCGTTACTACAAACAGTTGGGTCAGACCAGTTCTACAACTTATTTCCATGTGGGAGAAGGCGTGCGTCCGTCACCGTTGCTGCTAGTAATCCTAGAAACACGCCGCTGCAGCGTTGAGAAATACCAACGTAAGGGGACGAACGCTTCGGAATGACGTCCCATGCGAGCCATTAGCAGTGAAAAGCGCTGGGCCAGGTTTTAACAGCCGTAGCCCAGCAGGGCTTCCCTGGCATCAGATGAGCTCTTGGGACTTATGCCGTGGAAGCATCCTGCTTTATGTTACCAATAAAATACGGATATATTTCCATGTGGACATTGCCTGGCAAGAACGATCCCTAGGTTAGACTTGCGTCACTGTCTGTGATTTCACTCTATGTTATCATCAGCACTTTACAATCCAGGACCGTGTCCGAAAGTGGGATGTTTTGATTCCACGGCTCTGTTTACACTCACCTAATTTGGCCAGTAGATAGAAGAATCATAGAATCCCAGAATCTCAGAATCATAGAAGGAATGATCATTCTGATGGTCAACGCACTGAAATGAGTGCTAAGGGTCCTGATGCCCTATGACTAAAAAAGACAAAATAAAATAAAAGCTTTCCTGACTTCCAGGGCATGAAATGACTCCGTGGTAGCAACTTTTATAACATTTTTCCACCGACAGCAGCTTTCAGACCTGAGAGCAGACTGGGTCCCCTGGCATCCATGCACAAACTTCTTTCTTGTAGCACTGGGTTGAAGAACGACTCTCGTGGGGATTTTTTTACTACATATCTGGTCAAATGTTTCTTAGAGGTATCAAGCAGAGGAAACAACTCCTTGTGCAGATCAGAAGTGTCCCTGATAACCCAATCGTCATCCCCACAAATGCTTATGCGAGTGTATTTGTTTTAATTTGAGAAACATATATATATATCTCTATAACTTTCTGTATATTAATTCAAATGCCACGGTCAGAGAAAGTGCTTTAGTAACCCCAAACTAAAAGCCTCTAAATAAAATTTCATAATATAAAATGAGCAAATAAAAAAAAAAAAAACCAAAAAACAAACCCATATAATTTAGACATTTAGACATTAGGAAAAATTCCTTCCCCGCAAGGGCTGTCAGGCACTGGAAGGGGCTGCCCAGGGAAGGGATGGAGTCCCCATCCCTGGGGGGATTTAAAAGAAGGGTAGATGAGGTGCTTAGGGCCAGGGTTTAGTGGTGGGATGGCAGGGGTAGGGGAACGGTTGGGCTTGGTGATCTGAAAGGGCTTTTCCAACCTAAACGATTCTGTGATTCTATGATTCTAATTTCTATCCTAACACTGCTTGTCTGTGTTCCACCAGTGGAACCATTCATGTGGAACGAGTTTTGAAAAGCATCTTTATTTCAGAAAAGAATAGGGAAATAGCAATGAGTAGTAATAAGTACAAGTAAGTAATAGCACAAGTGGCTTACACCACTTCTGTAGTAACTTTGGCTCCAGGCACCAAGATGAAATCCAGCAGACCTGCTCGGTCTCGGCCCCAGCAGCTTGCTCCTGCAGCACGGTGCTTAAGACCAGGCTTAGAGTGGGGTTTTTGCGTGTGACTCATTTGCCAGGGAGCCTTTCAGGAAGAGGGGGAAAAAAAAAGAAAGGGAAAAAAAAGAAAAAGAAGATATTTTCACATTCAGGCAGAGGCTGGGGGTGCAGGGCCCCATCTGGGGCTGGGCTGGCACAGAGGGTCTGCTGGACTTCTCAGCCCTTCTTTTCTTCTTCCCAAAATTTCATTTGCTGGCAAGGTAATTCCTACAAACTATAATCCTTTCCTAACACTGGCACTTCTACTCTCAAAGTTCTAAAACTTTTAAGTTTTATTCAGTGGAGGTAGCTACTGTAGTCCTTTAAGTTACCAAAATCCTGAGATACCAAAATTTTTAATTCTTCATTCTTTTCCCCAAATACTTTCCCCTTTCCTTGCCGAGAAATATTGCAGGGCTTCCCAAAAGCACCCAGTAATTGATGTGTATCATTAATGCCATTTAGTTTTATTTCAGCCCTGGAGCACTAAAGTCCTACATCCTATGGTTTATGGCAGATATCAGGCTGAAGGGTGCACCTGAACTTGAGAAGTGCACTTGTAACGCGCGCTACCTATTTTTATATTCGTTAAATCTATATTGCTTACAGGGAATACTGTAATTGTGGGTTTGTTCTAAAACCAGGCAAGCGTGTATTGTCCTAACGTTCCTCAAAGCTATTTTGATCGGCGACCGGCCATCGCTGCTTTTAAAAAGAACCCCCCTGATTTTTCAGAAATCTGGGGTTTGTATGCATTTCGTAACGGAAGCCCGTTGAAACTTGATTGCAGCACTAACTGAGAGACTGTGTCTATCCAGCTTACATCCTCTTCTATACTTTGGACAAGAATGCTCCGATTGACGACTGGATTATGGAGTCCATCAGCGGAGACCGGCTCACCCACCAGATCATGGACCTCAACCTGGACACCGTCTACTACTTCAGAATCCAAGCTCGCAACGCCAAGGGAGTGGGGCCCCTCTCCGATCCTATTTTCTTCCGGACGCTGAAAGGTTTGGATCTGTGTCATCTGGATATAAATGATACATAGCATTCTCTAGTGCCTCTGTGGGAGCTTTGCAATTAATTCCATGTCAGCCAGAAGAGATCCCGCTCCTTGAAACCGTTATGGAGAGATAAAAGCAAAATGCTACATACAGTAGGTGACAAAAGTAAACCACATAATGAGGCAGTAACTATATTTTTAAATTCAGTCAGCTGGGGGGAAAGCGCTCTGACACCACCTCACTTTCTACCAGCAATGATAGAGCTAATTGGATCTGACTGGATTTCTCTAGGGAGGTCCCTTGGCATTTGGGGGCTGTCGGGAACCTGGGATGACTCCCTCCTATCCACAGAGTAGGCACGCGATTAAACCCCTCAGCAACCCACGAAGCAGCTTGGCTTTGCGTGGGGCAAGTTGTTCCAGATATTTTCAGTGCCTGTTATTAACAGACTAATTAATACCTGACCCCTCTCCCTTAGTGACCAGTGAGACGGAACAGGGGAAACAGGGGCACCCCTTTTTTATTTTTGGGCTGGTATTTCAGCACCAATGTGTTTAGGAGAGGAAAGGACTGCGCTTGTATCAGACTCAATTTCAAATTAATCGGGAGAGCTATTCCTCAAGCACGGGAAGGGGCGGTTGGGCTTGGTGATCTTGAAGGTCTTGTCCAACCTAAACGATTCGATGATTCTTCTCTCTTCCCTGCTGCCTGTCTGTGAAGCCTTGAGATGACCTACCCAGAAATTATTAGTTATGAAGGTGTAAGCAATATTACCCTGAGTGGGAAGCAGGCTGCTTGCCGCAGCTCTGCTCCTTGTATTTTTAACCGTCACTCATTCACTTGCACAAAGGTCTGAAATGACTTTGGAAAAGACGGGTAATTAATGACAAACTCGAATGACACAAACAGCCAACCTGTTCCAGGGAAGAAGCGTGGCATGTGAGAGAGCACGTTCGTGCTGTGCCTTCTCTAGAGAAAATCCAGGGATTTGTATCAAAAAAGCATGTCTTGGCAGAAGGTAATTGAAACGGGACGTGGGCTGGGCCTGAGGACTCGTGGCGGGAGGGAAATTAGGGAGATTCAGACTCAAACCTGTGCCTGAGAGGCTTGGAATTAGCGTTGGCACTCAAGCCCCGTTGTAATTGGTTCAAAGTGACTCCACTTCACGCGAGCCGTACAAAAGCCAAGCAAGGCGACGGCGGAGGAGGGGGTGACGCGCGACCCCGTGCCGTTCCCTTTGGGGGGACGGCTGCGTTCGTTTGGCGAGAGCGTGCGTTTGAGTTTGCCTTGCAGCAAACCTTCACGCAAATAGTGAATTTTTCTGCTGCCCCTGCGGGAAGGAGGGGAAATTCCATTTTCAGCCGGGAAGGGAGGATTTCATTGAACGAGCCGGTGTCCTCAGCAGGGAGCTTGCCCTTTTTGCTTCGCTGCTCTTGGTGTCTCTAAAGCGCCCTATCGACCATTCAGGCTGGGAGTGAAGAGCCTTGTACAACGGTTTCCATGAATTGGCAAGAGTCAGGGGGAGGGAAAAAAAAAAAATAATGAAAAATTGTATCAATTTGTTCTGAGCTTATCACCGCCTGCCCAGGTTTGTGGGACTTACTTGTCCAAGTCATGTTTCACTTTGAATGAATTATTGGTAAGATCCTGATTATTCATTCTCCACTGCCATGAAATGTGAAGAGATAGCACTTTGCGGGTGCTTCATCTCTATCAAGCGGATGGTGCCAACTTAATTTCATGCTCACGATTTGTGCCAAGCAGAAGTAGTCTATTAGGCTGAGTTTAAAACGAGTCAAGGCATCAAAATATAATAACCGCAGACTAATGAGATATGAGAAGATATAGAGACCCGGATATCTAACTAAACCAAAAGATTAATGCACTTGATATCACCTACTTTGTAATGTTTACACAAAGTACCATAAAACTCATTTGGGAAATGAATTCTAGATCAGACAGCATCAACAGATACCAAAAAAGATGAATTTATACATTTGTTACATCTTGTAATAGCCTACAAGGACTATGTCTAATACCCTGCCATGAATACTTAATGCTATCCACCCTAAATATGTCATGTTCAATAATATTCAAGAGGGGTTTTGACAAATCTATCCCTACACTTGAGGTGGAAAGACTTTCTGAAGTCTTGAGCGCGTCCTGATTTATGCAAAAATGTTGGTTTCCTGCCCTTAATGATTATTAACCCAAGACGTGTATGTGCCATATGGTAATGCGCGCTCTGATGGCAAAGCTACGTCCCGATCAGACGGGAGTTTTAAATCACGAAGAACTAAACAAGCATCAAAGATCCACTAAGTCACCCCCTGTCTCATTTCGTATATCGGAGCACATAAAGCTCCTCCAAGGAAAGCGAGCCATTACTTGCGCTGTAATTGCGATGTGAGTATTTGTAGTGACTTCCCTTTGCTAATGAAAACGTAGTGATCTGTGAGAAAGAGATATGTTTGGTAGTAAATAACACCACCACGGAGCAATGAGTTTATATTCTTCCACCTCAGCTCCGCTGCTGATAATATACAGGCAAGCGGGCAAATCCGTAGCTTATGTAAATTGTCGTTACACTGTGAACTTCAATCAGTCTACGACGGTTTACATCAGTTGAGGTTCTGCTTTTTTTTACGCGCCGGCTGGTTAAATTTATCACTTAAAGCATGAAGAATCTGATATTGCACGTTCTTAGGGACCTGGCATAGAAGGATAAAATGTGATTGAACATCCCCCCCCCC